AAAAACTATTAAAACTTATTAAAATTTGTCAAATTTCATTAAAACTCATTGAAACTATTAAAATAATTTCTGAAAAGTTTCAACTTTTACTAAAATAGGCTTAAAGTTTTGCCTTGCAATTATATTTATTCAGTTATCTAAATCTTCACTATAATTATCTTGAGAATCTAAATAATCACTTGAAGTACTAATATAATCTTTACCAAGTTCTATTTGTCTAATTAATTTAATTGTATCTGAAGTTATTTCTTCTGAATTATAAATATATTTCTATTAATTTAAAATGTGTATAATAAATAAAAAGAATATATAAATTAAAAATATGCTAAAAGAGTAAATTATAAATAAATAAAAACTAACCTAATAAATATTAAAATTATTATGCAAAGAATCATTACTAATAGAAATTTTTAGATGCTTTAGATTTAATACAATTTTGAATACAGCTAAGATAAAGCTGTATTCATTTTTATAGTAGTTTTTTTTCTCAAGCTATTTCTTGATTTCTTAATGTATAAAAGATTATTATTATTATTAGTCTTAAATACGTATCTAAATACTTCTTTCATTTTTTTAGAATTTTTAAATGTTCAACTATCATCAGCTTTTGCAGTAGTATTGATGTAAGTTAAATTTGCTTTATCAAATACATCAAATATTATAACTCTAACATCTTTTTCTTTATCATACTGACGTTCTTTGATTATATTATAATATTATTAAAATAAGTATATCTATTAGTAGTAATAAAATTATTAACAAATAAACTAATAAAAATATAACTTACTAAATAATTAATATGTCCTAAATAAATATAGATCTATTGAAATCCATGCTGCTTAATATATTCTAGTTTTTCTTATTCAACTATTATTTCAAAATATTTTTTAAACTAATTCATTAGGAAAAAGATCAAGAAGAGAAAGCTATGTCTTATATATTCTTGATGTTAGATTTTTAAATAAATAGATTATATTTATTATTTTAAATTTTTTTTTAAAATTAAAATACTTCTGTATAACATTAAACTTATATAATATATATATATCACTTTCTAATAAAATTTATAAGAAGTCATTAATTATTTAATTTTGTTAATAGATTTACAATTTATTTATGAACTTCTTTTAAATGATTCTTACATAACTTTAATTTCATTAATTATTTTAAATATTTCTTTATTTTATTTTAATTTCTATTTTAGACTTTAAATCAGCTATTAATAAAATAATGTAGTAATATCTATTACAAAAAAAAAATGATATTAATAAATCATAATAAAGTCTTGTAAATTTAAATATTTTATATCAGTTTTTGATGATTATGAAATAATTGTATTCAAATATTAATAAGAGTCACAAATGCAGTTATATTAGTAGTATTAGTAGATTCATCTGATTTTCTTATAATCCAAAGAATTTTTTAATATTATAATATTTTATATTATTATTTTTTAGGATTTTTTAATTGCTTTAATGAAGTTTTTGTGAATTTTGCTATGCAAACTAAATTTTTTATAATATATATCTTTAACAAAAATATTAATATATAAATCTTTATCAATTCACTTTAGTAATTAACTTTTTCTGCTCTATTTACTAGTATTTCAGAATTATATATATTAGAAGATTCTTGAAGATTTATTTTTTAAATTCTTTGACCAGTTACTAAATAATTATAAAGAAAAATAAATCAAAAAATAAATAAATTTTATAGATTTGATAATATTTATATTTATTTTTTCTTTAGCTATAATAAAATTCAAAAATAATAACTAAGTATTATATATTATTAGAATGAAAAATTAAAGCCTAGTAATTAGAACTTTAGATAATAATTAAATAATAATGTTATGGAAAAGAAAATATAAAAATAGTTTAAGTCTTAAAAAATGAATAAACTTATATAATTATATTACTGATTTAAAAATTGATTTAAATTCAGATTAGAATTTTTAATATATAAAATTAATAATAACTATATTCATTAACAAAAAATTATCATTAGATAATTACTGTCTAAAATTATATATAAGGCTTTTTAATAATTTATAATGATATTATTTCTAATTAAAAATGTATCAATATACTTTTTGTGATAAACATTTCTTATAAAAAACTGATTTAATATAATATTATAATAAAAATCATTTGTATTTTAAATAATTATATATATTAAACTGGATTAAAAACTAATAAGAAACTACTTTATAAATATAAATACCAGTTTTAGATAATAATATTTGAGGTAAAATTTAAAGTTTAAGTAATTTTTCATGAATTGTAAATATTAATAATCAAGAAAATAGGATAATATTCAAATATTTAATATTAAATCTACTATTTTTATTAAATAAATTACTAACTTATTTTAAATTGATTCAAATTAATAAATAGTAAGTATTTTAATGGGAAAATAATAATAGAAAAATGATAAATATGAAATTAATAAATAAAAATTTAAAAAAAAAGATAAAAGAGATAAATTTAATGAATATTAATATTATAATAGTGAATTTAATAAAAGCTATATAATGATAGTCAAATTTAATGAAGATAATAGTAATTGATAATGAAGAACTTGATAAAGATAATAATAACTTAATAATTATAATGATAATGATAATAAACTTGATAAAGATAAAAATAAAGATATTGTTAATAAATTCATCTGATTAATAGATAATAAAAGAAATTATTCTGAAAGTTCTTCAGAATTTAGTAAAAATTTTACAATACAAATTTGGCTGAAGTATATAAAGGCTTAAAAAAATAAAAGTAAACTAAATGAATATTCTTAGCCAAATAAAACAGATAAAGAATTCATAATAGTTATAACACAATAATATTATCTTTTAGATGTAGCCACTAATTTCATATTACATATAATTTAAAAAAATTATACAGAATCTCTTTCTAGTTCTACTTAAAAAGGTTGAATATATATAAATCAAATAGATATTAAGAATTTTAATATTAAAACAAAAGAATTATGTAAATTTGAGAGAAAAAACTATAAATTTTAATATCAACCAGTTCTTGATGCTATTAATAATCTCATGTCAAATTCTAATTAAAATAAAAATTTTCTTTTTGATTATAATAAATAATAGAAATTTAATAATGTAAGTTAAAGTGTTGTATAATAATATATTATGATTTTAACTAATACTAATTTTTCATATCTAAAAATGGAACTTTAGTATATATTTATTTTAAACAAAATACTATTAACTAATGATGTGAAAGATAAAATTTGTTTAGTAAAATTTTAGAGATTATGATATATAATGATGATATATCACTTGACAATCAGAATATTCTATTTTTTTAACTTTTAAAAAAATTTTAAATTGGCATCAAAATTTATCTGATGCTAAAGTTTTTGTTGAATTTTTTCTCATTTAACTACTTGAAATAATAAATTAAAGAATTTAAGAAATTTAAACAAATACAACAAGATTTAAAATAATATGCTTTAAAAATCTTATTAAAATCACTTCTTTAAAATAATGGTATCTATTTTACAATAAATAGAACTATTGAATATTTATTTCTTATTTGTCTAATATACTTATGAATATATCAGAAGTACAAAATATTTATTATATTTACAAATATACATATAAAATATCTATGTAATATGAGTAGTTATTTTTTAATAAATCTTGATTTTTTTTAATTTTAGTTAAATTATTTTTATTATTTAATTATAACAAATCTTATAAAATTATAAAATAAATTATAAAGTAAAAAAGACTTAAAGGGAGTGCATAAGAAAGAATAGAAGAATGATACTTTTCTACTAATTAAATAATTGTGTAAGAAACTCTTGAGTAAAATACTTAAAACAGAAAAATTAAAGTAGTATCTTAGATTACTAGAAACTTAATTTAAATCTCTCAAATATGATAGATACTTAATTTTAGTATTTTAGCTAAAACCTATCTACCTTGATTTATTTAACTAATAAGTAACTCCTTTCTCAACCACTTTAAGGTTTCATTTATAATTTATTCTTTATTAGAATTAAATATAATATAACAAAAAATATAATTATTGGAAACTGTGAACTGTAAAGTTTGATAACCTGATTTAAAATGATGATGGAAATTTTTTTTAATCAAATACCAAGGTTATTTTCTTTTAGAGATTTCTAATAGATATAAAAAGCTATAAACTTAAAAACAATATTTTCTGTGATATTATCCATATTTTTATACATACTTTCAGTTTATTTTACATAATTATAATTCATTTTGAAAGTAACAAAAGAATTTTTTAAAAAAGAAAATCCTCTATGACTAGTTGTAAAATATATGATAATAGTGATACAAAATAAAATGGATTAAAAATTATATTTTAATAATTTATTATTATTTATTTTTTTTTATTTTTATTTTTTTACTTTTTACTAATCTTTTCTTTTCTTTTTTCTACATATTTTATTTTTATTCATTTCTTATTTATTTATTTATTTATTTTTCTTTTTCATACATTTTCTTCTATTCTTTAATCTTATTTTTTTACTTAACTTCATTAATTTATATTCTTTATTTTTTTGCATTTTTTTTATTTTTTTATTTATTTATTCTTTCATTTATTTTTCTACTTCTAAAGCTTTATAATATAAAATAGTTTCTTAAAATATAATCTGTAATATAAAATAGTTTGAAAAAAAATTATGCAAAATTTTTATTTATCAATTATCAATTCTTATTCTATATTAATATTAATTAATTTATTATAAAAATTTTTTTTACAGATTTACATAATAGTAAATATGGGGAATAATTTGATTATCATATGGATAATTATATATTATACAAAAGATATGTAATAATTTTTTTATTTAACTAAATAAATTTAATTTTAAAATTCAAAAAATAAAATATTATTAATATATTATTCAAAATATATATAATAATTTTAATGTTTTTAATTTTTTTTATTAAATTAATTTTTAATACTAAATCTTCTAAATAAATTTTAATTTTTAGAATTTAAATAATATTATTTTAATTGACGTAGATGAGTATATATTATATAAATTATACATAATTATTTTAATCATTATTACAATATAATGTCAATCGATATTGATTTATAATAATTTTTAATATAATTTTATCAAATAAATTTTTTAATTACCAAATAAATTTAATTTAACTAAATAAATTTAAATTTTAAAATTCAAATAAACAAATATACATTTACGTAATGCATGTAATTTTTAATTTACCAAATAAAATTTTCTATTTAAATAAATTAAACATTTATTATATTTATATAAAATTAAAATATTATAATATCCTATACTTTGCTTTAGACAAAAAATATAAAAAATAATAAATCTTTCAAAAAATTCTATTAATTTATACAATTTATCAAAAAAAGTTCATTATTATTAATAAAAATTATTTCATAATTATGATATTATTTAATAAGGCTCTAATTAGATGAATATACAGAAAATGAATTGGTTTTTAATATATTTTATAATATAATATAACTTTTAAAAAAAAATAATTATAATTGTTAATAAAATTTAAAAAATAAAAAGAATTCATAAACTTATTATGAAAGTTGAATTTAAAAAATTTTTTGAATGACTTATTGAAATTTGTTCTTTAGATAAATCTCAATTTGAATTATTTTTAAAAATACAATTAATATCATTTGAAATAACTAAAAAAAAAACTGAAAATACCTTAAAAATAATAGATAGATACAATTTTAATAATTTCCTTCCTTTTTGTAAATCAATATTTATAAAATTAATTAGAAAAACTGAATATTAATTAATAATTATTCAAAAATATTTGCAAAAAAATAGATTAATGAAATGTATATATAAAAATACTATACCAATACTTTTATTATACACTTATATTGATATAAAAGTATTATTTTCAATAAAAAATTTTTAAATTATTATATTTATATTTATATCTTCTTTATATTATTGGAATGATTTAGATATTTTTATTTATTTACTTACTGAAAATATATATATATCTATTTATGAAAAATATATTAATAATATTGAATATAATTATAATCAAACAATTATTTCTTATAATATCTTTATAAAATTTTGACATGAATTGGTATTAAATATTAAATTTCAAATATCAATAAGTGACTTATATAAAACCTGTAAAATTCTTAAAACAAAATTAAAAATAGCAAAACATAATTTAGATAAATATAATAAAATTAAAATTTAATATGAAATATATGATAAGGCAGCAAATTTTGAATGTAAGCATTATAATAAAAATATTAATGAAAGTAAAAATAATAAGAAAATGCTATATATTTATTATAATAGAATACAAAATATATCAATTTTATATTCTCAGCAATAAATTAAATCTCTTTATTTTAAACATATATTTTTATTTATTTATTTAGTGTATGTAAAACTAAAGGTAGTTAAAATTATCAATTAAATTATTTAATTACAAAAGATGAGCTTTCTAAAAGAATAGCAAAAAGTGTTAACACAACTTTAAATATAGTATATAATATATTTCAAAAATTTGCATATATAAAAAAAATAAGAATTACTTATAATAATTATGTAATATAAAATAAAAATAACCTTTCTTTATAATTTTGAATATAGTTAATTATTTAAAAAGATATGAAGATATTATTATAAATTTTATAATTTCAGGTTATATAAAATTTATTTTTAATATATTTTTTGAATATATTAAAAAGGTATATAAAGATACAAAAATTAATACAATAACTGATATAGAAAAAATTGTAAATTGTTTATTCAAAGGAAATGAAGCAATTTGTTATAATAATGTATAGATTTAATATAATTTTGAAAGTTTTTAAAAAACCACTTTATTCTATTTTCTAATATAAAAAATACTATTATTTTCAATTTAGTAGTTTATCTAGTAATATTAGTAAAGTATATATTTCAAAGAAATCTAGAGGAGTATAAACTTTTTTTACACTCCTTTACAATAATAGTTTTGATAAAAATAATAAGATAGATATAATCTCAATTTTACCATTAACTAAAGAAAAAAATAATACCTATATTTAAAGATTTGTAAACATATAAATAAACTATTTAAAGATGTTCATTTTTCTAAACTTGATGAATATTAGCTTATTTATTAATTAAAAAAATTTAAATTAAAATAAATGAAAAATTGAATAGAAAAAGAAAAAAGAAAAAATGAATAAAATTTGAAAAATGAAGAGGAACAAAAAGGAAAAAAAAGAAAGAAATCAAAGAGTGAAAGAAGAAAAATGATTAAAAAATGAAAGAAAAAAATATGAAAGGTAGAATGTAAAGAAATGTAAAGGAGAAATTGAATGAAAGAAATAATAGAATTATAAAGAAAAAATATTAAATAAACAAATGAATAGAATTAATAAAAGGAATAAGTGTGAAAAAGGGAATAAAAGTAAAGAAATAAATAAATAAAATAAAAAGGAATTTATAAATAAAATAAAAAAATAGTATAAAAAGAAAAGGAAAAAAATAAAATGGTAAGAACAAATAGGAAGAATAAATAAAAAAAGAAGATACAAAATTAAAGTAAGAAAAAAGAACAAAAAATAAAATAAAAAAAAAACAAATAATAAGAAAATAAAAAAAAAGAACCAAAAGAAAGAAGAAAAACAAAATGAATAAATGAAAGAAATGAGAAAGTATAAAGAAGTAAAAAAATAAAAATGAAAAGAAAAGAGTGAAAAAATAAGAAAAACTGATAATAAAAAGAATAAAAGAAAAGGTAAGAAAAAACAAATAAAAGAAAAAGAAATAAATAAAAAAAAAAAAATAAAAAAAAAAAATAAATAAAAAAAGGAATAAAAATAAAAGAGAAGGATAAAGGAATAAAAAGAATATTAAAAAGAAAAAGTAATAATAGAGCAATATTTATAACTGCAGTAAATTAAATAAACTTAAATAAAAAAATTTTTTTATTTGCTGTAATAGTAAAAATATAAATGCAAATTTTTAAAGTGGCTATTTACTATTACAATAAAGTAATAAAAAATTTTACATTAAAAAATATTAAAAAA